GGCGCCCTGGGACCATACTAGTGCGTATAAGGCGCCCCGGACCTATACTAGTGCGTATAAGGCGCCTCGGACCTATACTAGTGCGTATAAGGCGCCTAGGACCTATACTAGTGCGTATAAGGCGCCCTGGGACCATACTAGTGCGTATAAGGCGCCCCGGACCTATACTAGTGCGTATAAGGCGCCTCGGACCCATACTAGTGCGTATAAGGCGCCCTGGGACCATACCAGTGCGTATAACGCGCCCCGGGACCATACCAGTGCATATATGGCGCCCTGGGACCGTACCAGTGCGTATAAGGCGCCCTGGGACCATACCAGTGCGTATAAGGCGCCCCAGGACCATACCAGTGCATATATGGCGTCCTGGGACCGTACCAGTGCGTATAAGGCGCCCTGGGACCATATCAGTGCGTATAAGGCGCCCCAGGACCATACCAGTGCATATATGGCGCCCTGGGACCGTACCAGTGCGTATAAGGCGCCCTGGGACCATACCAGTGTGTATAAGGCGCCCCAGGACCACACCAGTGCATATATGGCGCCCTGGGACCGTACCAGTGCGTATAAGGCGCCCCGGGGACCATACTAGTGCATATAAGGCGCCCCGGGGACCATACCAGTGCATATGAGGCGCCCTGGGACCGTACCAGTGCGTATAAGGCGCCCTGGGACCACACCAGTGCGTACAACATCCGTGACCACAAGTCCAGCCAGCGTAAGAGACTCTCCAAGATGTTCTAGGGTAAGTACCCACTTACAGATGATGTACCTGGCATAGCCTGATCCCACTACACACCCCAGTTACCCTCCAAGTGCCTCGTATGGGATGGATGGATTACACACCACTGATTCGCTACAGCAGCTTTCCTTAAGCCAGTTACAGCGTGTAATTAGGGAAAGGCTGTTGTTGTTTTAGATTCAGCTACTTAGAACAAAAGTTCCAAAGTAGCACGGGCTATGGTGAGCCCCGTAGTGGACTTACTCGGCACAGGAGCGGGGCTGTAACTGATTAAGGGAAGGTATTGTGACATACCAGATAGTCTGCAGGTATGGGGGTATGTTAAAGAATACCAGGGGAATATGGAGCTCCAAGGAGGTCCAACTGGTGGGGGTGCTCAGAACGGGGCTCAGTACTCACGCACATGCAGTGTGCTCTATGCTCAATACTTCTGTGTTCGTCCCGGGGAACGTTGGAGGTTCACTACACTACACTATATATGATTTGTTCATTGGAGGTTCCAGCACAAGTTACAGCCCCGCCCCTGTGCCAGGTAAGTCCACTACGGGCTCGCCATAGCCCGTGCTACCTGGAACTTTTTGGTTCCCAGTAGCTGAATCTATAACAACAACAACAACAGGAGGTTCCAGGCGCTGGTCCTTGGTGGTGAGTGGGGTCTAAAACCTGCAGACACAAACCCCTTATACGTGCAGGCGAGGAGTCACAATAACGTGGCTAAAGTATGTTGACCAGACCACACACTAGAAGGTGAAGGGACGACGACGTTTCGGTCCGTCCTGGACCATTCTGAAGTCGATTGTCTAGTCTCATATACGTCATTGTTACTCTTAAACGGCCTAATCTAGCCCAGACTTGTTTCAAACCCAAAACATATAATGATGTAATTTATAAATAATTCGGACGAGTGTGACGTCACTATAGCGTCATAATTTTCCTGCCGGTGGGGGGTTTTCGACCCTATTTTCCGTTGGTAGGACATATAATTATTTTATTATTAATAATAACATTTAATAATGAAGAAAAATAATAATAAAGCATCGTTTGCCATGGATAAACTTACTATATTACACAAATGCATTTATATGCTTTGAAAATCGTAGCCAAAGAGAGTGGGCGATGGGGGAAGAATGTTAATTAAAAAATGAACTATTAGAACAAGTGCTGCCCCCTTACAGGGATAATAGGAAACAGGAGACGCACAATGTAAACAAAACACAGCTGATGACCTCAAGGGGCTGCTGCGCTGACTGATGACCTGAGTTTATGGATTTTTTTTTTACGTTTGGTTTACTTACAACCCGTTAATTATGATCCGCAATATTATTATTAAAAGCATTTTATTGTGTATTGTCATTCACATTCCATACTGCACAAATATTTTATATTTAAAGTCTCTGTTGACGAGTCTATAATGCGGCCGCTAGATGTCACCACTGTGTACCAAAACATTAGAACCACGTGATTTCCTCTACTCGGCTGCCCCCCCCAAAAAAATACATTTTAGTAATCAAGAAGACAACTTAGTTGTCTACTCGACAACTGGGTAATTGTCTGGGTAGACAACTAAGTTGTCTACCCAGACAATTTGCTCAGAGAAGCAGGACATTTTCGAAATGGAATATCACTCCTCTCTCAGCTGGCTATCACGCTATCCTGGTTAAGTTAGGTATGATTAGGTCCTGTGGGTTAGGCTAGATTGCAGGGATATTGGAAAAACGGGATGACTATAAATATCTGGGAAACTCAGTCTGAACTAATTAACCAACTATTAACAAAGCTAAGCCCAACGTAACCTAATTGGCTTAGAAGCGTGAGCACTATTTACAGTTTGCACAATTAGTGTTCCAGTAGGAAATAGTTCACTGTGCACTAATTGGACTAGCGTGCTTGGCTCTAAATAGGTTAGTGTACGTTAACATTACCTGCTGATGTAGGTCTTGGCTACTGTAGTTCATTATAACTGGGGGGGAGTCCAGGCCCCTGTGTTCGAGCCGATTGCATGGTTTCAAAATATTATCACGTGAACATAAGCTAAGGCAATGTACCTATGAGGAGATCGTGGTAAGAGCGAAATGGCCAGCGCTGTATATCCAAGAGGTTTACCTGCCTTCTAGGCGTAAATATACTGAGTTTACTTTAGTTATGAACTATGTTAAGGCCTACAGCCCATTCTCCTACCTAGCTAGTCCTTAACGATGTGGTCCATCGTATATATGGTCCGTGATGTGGACCATATGTACGATCACGTACGATGTGGACCATATGTACGATCACGTACGATGTGGACCATATGTACGATCACGTACGATGTGGACCATCGTACGTGATGGACAATTAGAAAGTAAAATTTGGTACTATTTGGATATACCGGAAAAGGTTTTGTATTCATGTTGCTAATGAAACGTTACCAGCCTAGGCCTAATTAACGTTATCTGAGGCCTAATATTGTACATATATGTGCCAAACTAGGCCTAGGAATATACAAGTTTGGGTTATAGCGTTATTTTTCCGGACTATACGAGGTGAATAGTACCAAATTCTAATTGTCCATTACGTCTATATACATACGATGGTCTACATAGAAAACGTACTATCCAAACAAGAGGACGGGTTACTAAACTAAAGTAAACCTTGCTGGTCGGTGTAGTAAATTGGTACCTGGGCGTTAGACAGCTGCTACGGGCTGTTTCCTGGGGGTGTGTAACAAAAAGAAGGCCTGGGCGAGGACTGGGCCGCGGGGACGCTAAGCCCCCGAAATCCTCTCAAGATAACCTCAAGATTGGTCAGCAAGCACTTATGGCGGCCTTAATGACTCGCCAGAGACTGACAGACCTTAACCCGGACATCAAATCAAACCCCAATCGACTTGAGAATGGTCCAGGACGGACCGTAACGTCGTCGTCCCTTCACCTTCTAGTGTGTGGTCTGGTCAACATTAGCCACGTTATTGTGACTCATCGCCTGCATCAAATCGAACATTGGTGTCTAGTGTCTCAGCCTAGTCTATGTCTCACTCCACTACCGACCTCAGGATAGAAATGGACGGTGTATTATAACTTAGTTCCCAAGTATAGTTTCTTAACGCTTCTAGATATAAATTCTTAGTGCTCTTATTGACCTAGTGTCCATTGTCTTAGTTTTATGCCTTAACTGATCATTACCACAAGATCATTTGCGCAAACGGAGTCATAAAAAAAATCCACAATATTGGGCTGATGACTCAATGAGTCTGACTGTCAATGATGACTGTCAATGATGACTGTCAGTCAATGATGACTGTCAGTCAATGATGACTGTCAGTCCCCACAGCTCCGGTCCGGATCAACGTCTCTCCTGTAGTTCCTTAGCTTTCCTATGACTGTATATTTTTAGTCTATTATTACATTAATTATATTATTACGGATGTATATTACCAACTTGCTCTTACTTAGATTGAGAGAAAAAAAATGAGTGCAAGAGGCGCACCTCTATTTATACCATGGTAGGTCTGCTATGATTGGGGGGGTGGGGAAGGGGGATAGAGGACCACTGGTCTTCATGGTCGCTCTGCCGGGGAGAGACAAAGGCTGGCTAGCTGCTCATCTGTCCTAACTGTCGTTGAGGCTGACAGAAACCGGGCCCTTCTCCATGAAGGGGCCCAGTCTTCTTGGTGGGTACCTGGGGCCACTAGTCCCTATCTCTTTAGTTATATCTGAGGGGGCCCCCGAGGCCCCAAATGGTCCGTTTCCAAGTCTGCCATAGATAATAAAGACCAACTGGTCTTTGGTGCATCTGAAGGAACAATGGCAACTGGTCTGTTGCTTTGCGTCCAGTCTCTGATCAGACCGGTTTGTTGAGGAGCAGGGAAGACAAAATTCAAGCACAATTGTTTACTGCACAAAGATACACTGAAGGCTTGGCCAGAGACTGGCAGCACTGCATCAACAGGTGTGTAAGGATATGTAATGCATCAACAGGTGTGTAAAGATATGTGGAGGAAAGTGTGCAATGTAAGGTAATAATCAGGAGCGAGCACTAAGCCAGTACAACTATACAGTGTGCCAGTGCACATGACCCACTTGTGTAACTGAGGTGTACATGTGTAATGATGTGCGTACATACATGGCCACTGTGTAATAACGATGTACATACATACAGATCTAACACGTCAACAATATATGTAAGGATAACTATCTGCTTGTAAGCATTAACCTGTGATAACATTAGTGTGGTATACAATGGTTCACTTGTAGGCTACTCTAAGGCGACCAGTACTCACGCCGGGGTTGGGAGGGGCGTGGTAGGCGACGCTGACGGAGGGTTCTGGCGACGACGAAGCGTTGCTGTCGTCTAGAGAGCGACCGTAGCCGGACTCCCGCGTGCTGCTCTGAGAGTCCGTCCGTTGACCGCCAGCGAACCGCAGGCCAGCGGTGTCCGCCTCGTCGGCAGCCGCGCCGTCGCCAAGGTCGACCTCGGTGAAGAGCGCTGGATTGTTGGAGTGCGGCGCGTCGGTGACGGGGTCGTGAAACCGTAATTTCGGGCGCCATTTCGCCGGCAAGTCGTCCAAAGCGCTCGTGAAGGAGTCGTCGTCGAAGCCAGGGTTGCTGAGGCCCAGGTCGCCATCGACGACCACATTGGAAGACACGACAGAGATGTTAGAATTATTGCTGGATGGAGAAAGAGGCTGGCTGTCGTCCCCCGAGGAGCAGGTGGCCAAGATCGCGTCCTTGGCGGCACAGAGGCCCCGCCAGATGTTCTCGCAGATGCAGGTCATGGTACAGATGCGCTGAGGTCTCTACGACTCTAGCCATCTAGTGTTCAACACGTTATCCATTACGGAAACCCACTTCGAGGGCTACTATAATTACTTTTCCTTTTTCACTGCCTCTATCAAGAAAATAACTACGTTATATTAGTATAAATTTAAAAGTTAATATCGAAGCATTTTCTTGAGCCTCATAAGTTTTTGAAGAGTCTAAATAGTTTCTTCGAGTTTTATTATTTTTTTATTTCACTTGTTTCCCCCCGACGAGTCTGAGTGAGGAGGGAGAGGGAAGCAGAGCGTGGGGGCGGACACTAGGACGGCAGCTTGCACACTACGGCCAGATAACTGGCCGTGAACACCGATCAGTGGCAGGGAAAGCCCGCACTGGTAGAGATAAGGCGTATCAGCAGAGTGCGGTAAGCAGAGCCACTCCGCCAAGCCTCGTGCTCCTCAACTGTAAACACACACAATAACACGTCAACACATTGTGCCGTTTTCTATGGTGTGTGGGGGAGTTTATTATGTTTTTGTTTTGTTCGCCATGAGTAAACTGTGTAATTTTATGGAAGCTGTTGGATCATTGGGAGAATATTTCTTAAAACATATGTAATATTAGTGGGGTTTTATATATAAATATTTATACATGCGGTATATTATATGGAAACATACTCAAAGGGGACTATATTTGTCATTAATATATGTGAATGAGGCAACCAACTTATTAGGTGTTACATCACTGATGACATCACAGTGCCAGGCGGCGATGGTGTAGGGTTACAGCGATACAGGCAGGGTTACAGAGGTACAGGCAGGGTTACAGAGGTACAGGCAGGGTTACATGACCTGCCCAAACACAGCATAACCCCTCTCACGCCACCGCCTCGACGACACATCAGTACAACTCTGGTCTGAATGACAAACATCAATGATCCGATTATTTAATATATATATATATATATATATATATATATATATATATATATATATATATATATATATATATATATATATATATATATATATATAATAGGACGTTTAATAGTGCAATATGTACTTTGACTAAGGCGGCTGATATTACTACAATTCACTGCCTTAATCGCCTTCCAAGAAAATTTAAGAAATGTGTGTGGGAAAACCACCGAACAACAACAGTCATTAACACTAATCAAGGAACTCAAAACTACTAATTAGATTATCATTTGTTAATCTCTAAGAGAGGAACCACTAGGAATGGGGACCCAGGTGGAGCTCTGCTTCTCCTGCTTCCCATTTCCCGATTTATTTACCTGAATATACATCTGCCCGCCTCCCCATTCCTCTACGGGTTATTCATGCCCGTGCCACCTCTTGGATAGCTTAATCTTCATCAATCAATCCCCATTTCAGATATATAGCTGACAACAGTGTCTGAGCAACAGCTAAGATTCTGTGGTTTTTCGAAGACATTACTTCATATATGTGCTCAACATAAGGCTATATGACTATCTAAATGACTATATATATATATATGACTATATATATATGACAATAGTGACCGAATATATATATACAGCTTATACGCTTATACGTATCTGACTATGACATATACATATATGTCATAGTCATATACGTATATGACTATACTGGCAGGGCTGGCCCTGTGATCATACTGGGGGCGTAACAGCAGGTGTATAAAGGCCTCTAGACATGACCTTGTTGTAGGGGGGGAACATGTTTGGCACTCTGACACTCTGGCCCTGTGACAGACCTTGAGCCACACTTCCTGATCACTGTGAGCCGATCCAGTTCACTCGAGATCCGCTTCAGACCTCAGTGTGAGGCGGTATATTCGGTCAGTATACCAGAGTATAGGGCAATACATTCGGTCATTAAATGACAATATACTACCACCAGTGCAGGGGGATTATATTTGGTCATTACTGACAGTATATCACAGCGTATAAGCAGTATATATATATATATATTCGGTCACTATTGTCAGACCACCGCACAGAACAGCATATTTGGTCATTCCTCACAGCAGACTACAGTGTTAGTATATTTGGACTATTACAGACAGCAGGAAATGAGATATATATATATATATGTGAATGAGGCACTAAAGAACGACAGGACAGGACAGAACCTGTCGCAGACGGCGGGGCAGGCAGGACAGGGCATGTCACAGACGACAGGGAACACCAGGACATCACAGGCATTCTAAAATTTCAGGACACGCGCATGCCAGTGTATAGGAGTATCACAGCCAATAGGACACATTCAGGGCAGCGTGACACATTCACCTGTGCTACAGAACGCAGAGACGCAGGACGCAACAGCCAATAAGACACACACAGGGCAGTGTAGCAGGACGCACCAGCCAATAAGACACACACAGGGCAGTGTAGCAGGACGCATCAGCCAATAAGACACACACAGGGCAGTGTAGCAGGACGCACCAGCCAATAAGACACACACAGGGCAGTGTAGCAGGACGCATCAGCCAATAAGATACACACAGGGCAGTGTAGCAGGACGCACCAGCCAATAAGACACACACAGGGCAGTGTAGCAGGACGCACCAGCCAATAAGACACATACAGGGCAGTGTAGCAGGATATCACAGGTCACCGGACACACAGTATCAAACCTTTAAGAATTATGAACGACCAAAAAGATCCTGATGACAGAAGAAAAAAAGCCTCGTGACAGAGGGCCTTATAGTCACCGTTGACGCAGAGAGCGCAGCCTTCAGGTGACGAGGCCGTCTCCTGACGGCTGTGTGTGACGCCGAGGCCTCCTGTGACGGCTGTGTGACGGGCGTAACGGGGGGGGGGGGCGCTCCTGTGACTGGGTGACGGCTGGTTCTTGCCTTAACAGTGTCACGTGACGGGCTGGCTGGTCATAGACTCGGTAAGGGAGAGGTATAGTAGAAGCAGCGGCAGGAATGGTGCTCGGTGTAGCAGCTTGGGATCCAAGTCACCAGTCACTGATATCTTACCGGTGATAACACGCCTAATCACTGATAAAAACTGCCTCCTGGACAGCTGTTACCGGAGCTGTTATCGGGCGAGCATGATGGTCAGTTACCGGTGGTGATGGTCGTTGTTAAAGATTCGCTACCTGGAACAAAGTTCCAAGTAGCACGGGCTATGGTGAGCCCGTAACTTGATTGATGTGGTGATGGTTATTACTGTCAGACGTTTTGAAGCCAAGAAACCTTTCATATTAACAAAATAAAAAACAAGATGTACGATAACATTCCCATTCAGTTCCTCGAATATTTAAGACAACTAGTAAGAAAATAATATATATAGTCTTTTCATTTATATAGTTTTATCAACTTGATGATAAACGGCAATTACAGGGATATCAGTGTTATCATATGTCTGCGAGTAAGTCTTTTTGGAGCAGTGCAGTGGGATCGAACTTGCGGTCCGGGTCACTGTAGATGCACGCATTACTCATTGATAGGCTTAAAAAGCATCACAACCTGAAGATCAACTGAACTTGTAAGGGATTTTTGGAAGGCACTGAGCTGGTACCCAAATTCTACGTAAGTTCAGTGGCTCTTAGGGCTGTATAATGTTTTAAGCCCATCTTGGTCTAGTTGGTAATGCATGTGTCTGGATTGAGCTGAGACAATAATTCAATCCCACCGCATTGCTGGAGGATTTTAAAATAATCAGTAATTAGTAACTCATAAAATAATTTAACAAAAGTGGATAACCGTTTTTATTCTATTTATAATAATTTTATAATAAATAGGACAAATTATCAAAATTTTATGGAAATATGAATTAATTCATATTAATTTCCATATTTTATGGAAATATGAATTAATTCATATTAATTTCCATATTTTATGGAAATATGAATTAATTCATATTACTAATTCCTAATTCATAACTAGCTAATATGAATTAATTATTATTAATGCGTGACGTTAACTGAATATGTTAAATGAATATTCATAAATGCAATTTAATGAGAGGCGTAAGAATACATAAGGTACGGCCCTATAGTGCCTTCAACTGACTGTTAAATCTTGAGTCCAAACATCAGTCTGTTTTGATAAAAGTCAAGTCTTGGTGATATGATTTAATGAACGTTATTCAGTATTGTCGTGCCAAAGACTGCTGATTGTAAGAAGAGGCAGATAAAACCCATTGATTTAAGGAAGATAACTAAGGACAATCAAGATAGTATGGCCTAAAAGCGTCCCAGAGCGGACCATGGCTATAGCAGCAGCGTCCTACGCGATCCCAGCCCACGCTGGCGTCCCAGTGAGTCCCAGGGCTGACATCAGGGGTCCCACCCGATCCCAGCCCTCGCTGACGTCCCAGGGAGTCCCAGGGCTGATATCAGGGGGGCCCACCAGATCCCAGCCCTCGCTGACGTCCCAGTGAGTCCCAGGGCTAACATCAGGGGTCCCACCCGATCCCAGCCCTCGCTGGCGTCCCAGTGAGTCCCAGGGCTGACATCAGGGGTCCCACCAGATCCCAGCTAACCAGCCCACAGCAACGGCCGGCGCAGACAAACTCACAGCCCGGGAAACGAGAAACTTTCAAAATGTCCTCAGGAGGATATTTTAAAAGTTTTCTAATGCAAACCAAATGCTATTGCCAGTTTGCTGTAAGTTGCAGCCTCCTCCGGTGCCTTTGTGCGGCTCCAATTTCCATTTGTAACTCAAAGATTTACATTTTTTTAGACCTATTTCCTGGGTTTATTAGTACATTCGTGCTTTAAAAGTTGATAAATTTATGTGTTATTAATGGTATACTTTTTTAAAATTGAGATAATTATTGCGTTTTTGTCCAAAAATCCATATATATATTTGTTTTTAATTTAGCTACACAAGGCTGGTAACCTATCGGCTACTAGCCTACTAGCTAGCCGGGACAGGCTGGTAGCCTAGCAGCTGTATAATACATCAATTGTATTCTCATGTCTCTAATTTCTTTCTAAATGGTTTGTGTATTTGCCAAAACTTCTCGCGACTCTCACTGTGGGTGTTGTGCCGCAGCTGCGGCACCTGTTCCCACGTGCCGCAGCTGGACACCTGTTCTCACGTGCCGCAGCTGGACACCTGTTCTCACGTGCCGCAGCTGGACACCTGTTCTCACGTGCCGCAGCTGGACACCTGTTCCCACGTGCCGCAGCTGCGGCACCTGTTCTGTACGCTTCCCTTCACTCGAGAGATATATATATATATATATATATATATATATATATATATATATATATATATATATATATATATATATATATATATATATATATATACGAGACCTTGTACTTATTCAGCACCTGTCGCTGCCCCCAACTATCCAACACGTGCCGCCCCCCCCCCCCAACTATCCAACACCTGCCGTCCCCCCCCCCCCCTATTATCCAACACCCGCTCCCCCCTCCCAACTATCCAACACCGGCTCCCCCCCCCCCATCCACACACCCCCCCCTCCACAGTCCACGAATCACCCCCCCCCCCACCCTAAACATCCCCTAACTCGACTCTGCCGCTCAAGCAAGAACAATATAGAGATTACGTTCCACCTTGAGTGGTAGGTCCAATAAGCAAACAACCTGACGTGATGTACGTCTTAACGCAGCACCGTGCGTGTGCGTGCGTGCGTGTGTGCTCTGGCGGGATCATCGCTGCGGCCTCTTAGAGTGCGATAAACCTTATCAAGGAGATGTGCACCGATAGCGGTTGTGCTTGTGTGTTCACCTAGTTGCATTCACCTAGTTGTGCTTGCGGGAGTTGAGTTCTACTCTTCCTCTCAACTGTCAATCAACTGGTGTACAGGTTCCTGAGCCTACTGAGGCTTTATCAAATCTACATTTGAAACTGTGTATGGAGTCAGCCTCCACCACATCACTGCCTAATGCATTCTATTTGATAACTACTCTGACACTGAAAAAGTTCTTTCTAACGTCTCTGTGGCTCATGTGGGTACTCAGCTTCCACTTGTGTCTCCCTTGTTCGTGTTCCTCCCGTGCTGAAGAGTTTGTCTTTATTCGCTCTGTCAATACCCCTGAGAATTTTGTAGGTGGTTATCATGTCTCCCCTTACACACACACACACACACACAGAAGAGTGTGTGTGTAAGGGGAGACATGATAACCACCTACAAAATCATGTGATCACACGAGACTCTAGATATTCCTCTTGCTGATCTCACACACACACACACACAGAAGAGTGTATGTGTGTGTGTGTGTGTGTGTGTGTGTGTGTGTGTGTGTGTGTGTGTGTGTGTGAGATCAGCAAGAGGAATATCTAGAGTCCCGTGTGATCACATGTTGAAGCTATGCAAGATTAGATTGTCAGTTGAAGTGCCTCGTCCACCAGGTGTTGAGAAGCGGTCGGTTCCTCTAGTCTAATGGACGACTAATGTAGAGTTGGTTGTCCTTGTGTAGCCAAAGGAGATGTATGTCTCGCGTCTAACAGCCAGACCCGCACTCTTTGGCCTAGTAGGCAAGGCCTAATTTACTTAACAATCGGTGATTTTCGTTATTTTAAAAAACTTCTTTCCAAATTGGTGTATTCTAATTAATATTACTATATTAAGAACGTGAACTACTGACTTCACCCACGCCGAGTGCTGTACCCTCTCATTCAACCCCATGCCCGAGTGCATTCAACCGCCATGCCCGAGTGCATTCAACCCCATGCCCGAGTGCATTCGGGTTGTGTGGTCAACTACTTCATCTAGTCCAGGGTTAAGGAGGTCCTACGATTATTAGTGCTTTGCATCCCGCGGGCGGAGGTTCTTGTCCCAGCAAGGGGCATTTGGAACGTTCAAGTATTTAAAGTGAGGCCCGCGTGAACAACCGAGCCTGAGCAGCTCCCATTCTTAGAATATATGAACGACCCAAGATGAGAGACTAAAGAATATAGAAGTGACAGTGGAGGAGGTAATGAAACAGCCAACAACACTGGATGAAACTAAAGCAGTTAGACCAGACAAAGTATCACCGTGGATGTTAAAAGAGGCAGCGCAGGCCCTCAGCGTGCCTCTGGCAAGGATCTATAATGAGTCACTTACGAAGGGAGAGTTACCCAGATGCTGGAAGAAGGCAAATGTGGTACCAATTTTCGAAGAAAGAGATAGGGAAGAGACACTTAACTACAGACCAATATCACTGACAAGCACCCCTTGTAAAGTACTTGAAAGAAAAATCGGGTTAAGACTGGTTACACACCTCGAGAACATTAAGTATGTAAACAAACACCAACATGGGTTCAGAGAAGGAGAAATCGTGCCAAACAAATCTGGAACTCAATGATAAAGTAACAAGAATAAAGCAGGACAGAGAAGCATGGGCAGACTGCATATTTCTGAACTGCCAAAAAGCCTTTGGCACAGTACCACACTGGAGACTGCTATTTAAACTTGAGTGGCAGGCAGGAGTAAGCGGAAAAGCCCGGCAGGTGCCAGAGAGAACAGTCAGGGGGGCAAGAAGTCAGACTGGCGAACTGTAACAAGTGGAGTACCTCAAGGAACGGTGCTGTGACCAGTTTTATTTCTAAAATATATAATTCTAATTTCAAATATATATATATATATATATATATATATATATATATATATATATATATATATATATATATATATATATATATATATATATATATATATATATATATATATATATATATATATATATATAATATTGTAAATTCTGTAATGCTTTATTAATAAATATTTCCCTCTCTTTAACTGTACAACTTTTTGCTGGCCGGCCTGACGCCTTCCGCCCCTTCTATTGACAGTAGCAAACGGGGTAATGATAATGTGTGTATATATGACGGCAATAAACATGAGGCTATGGTAGGTCGGATTGGTGGGCTGGGTAGGTGGGGGGGAGGGTAGAGAATATGGGGTTGGTAGGGGGGAAATGATGGGAAGAATGGGAGAATTCCGGGAAAGGGTTAGTCTCCACATAATCACTACCCTCCCTTCTTCCCCCCCCCCCATCCTTCCCCTCC